GTGAGGGTTTTGTACAACTACGAGGGTACTACAATATGTATTCTAAATATTTACTTCGACGAGGACGGAACATAATTGATTATACCTGCTGATATAATTGAAGTGCTTGATGGTGACAGTATTTGCACCAATTACTTGATTTGTTTAATGGGCAGTCTGGAGACGGTCTGAAGACAAGATCTATATATTTTTTATAGACATCCTTCTTCGTCTCGTCTAGCGTCCATACGATAATGTGAATTTTCCGGTCTCATGCTCGCTTTCGCCATCAAAGACATTGTTTTGTGTGGATATGTCTCAGGATGCCTCAGAATGTTTTTTTTTTCAGTTAACAGAGCAATGAAGTTTTTTAAATTTTAATCTTTAATATTATTACACTAGTTAATTATAGATGCCCCATACTTATTTTGTTCTCATATAATAAAATATTTGCTTTCTGAGGATTTCTGAGCATTTTCCAAGTTTTCTTTTCAAGCTGGCATTGACCAGATATAACACAATGGATTTAAGGAGCAATAATAGGATAAATTCTAGAAGTTCCACTGAGGTTGAAAAATTACCAGCCCCAACTATCGCTTGCGTTCCACTAGGCGAAATTCTAAATTCGCCCTTGATGCTCCTTAATGATGAAAGATAACTATCAATTCTGATTCAAAACTGTCTGCCCTCCAAAAAGGATTTTGATCATTTAGATTTAGATAGCCTAAAAGTGCAATTTAGGTGAATAACCTTGTAGATGAGACCCGGATGCCATACTTTGTCGAATGTTTTTTGCGATATCTAGCAATATGACACCATTATTCTGGCTCCGAGTAAATCCGGAAGTGACCGTCTCTACCAGTCTGGTTGCCTGCATCTCAGTAGAGTGTTCTTTACGAAAGCTGCACTCTTTCTGTGGAAGGATTTCTCCTCAAAAAAACTCTGCATTCATTCAAGAACGACTCTGTTAGCGAGCTTACTCGGAATAGAAGATTTACTGATCGGACGGTATTCTTACGGATTACTTTCTTTGGAATCATTATTACAAGCTTCCAAGCATGACGCAACTATTGCAAGCGAAGGATAGCATTAATAATTGTCGGCAGATAGATTCGAGATCGCTCAGATGCAACATTTGAAAGATGTCTTCTCTCAGCAAGGATTTGAGCATTTCTTTTGGGGAAGAACTTGTAGACGGAGGCATTAGCAGAGTGGTCTTCCCCACAATTTGCGCATTGTGAGCTCTCCTCCAGTTTACGTGGGCAACGGAGACTCAAATGTTCACTTGCACCGCGGATACACTTTCGGTTAGCCGTGCAGTTACTCTGAGCATGCCCATATCGCTGACACCGGTGATACTGCCCAATCGGGCCTGTCGAAGTTTGAACCTCAACTGAAATATCAAGACCAAAAAGTTATTCAAGCTGAAGTACACCTTATGGGTTTCACTATTTTTTTTTGCAATACCACGCAGTATAGTGGCATGGGCACTTCGCCGCAGTCTAAGGAAAACCGGTCTGCGTTATTTTATTTGTAAAAGCGCATCCTTATTTGCATGTTAAGGAATGCCGAATTACCTATATGTGAAGATTTCTCTCCTCCAGCAAGGGGAAAGTGTGGTAACTGATATCGTATCATCATATCAATCTTTAAAAAGGCGTACAATCGCTTTGTAATCATCAACGTGAGCAGGCAATATACTGATGCCCAGATCAATGTTGACAGGATTGTAATTTTTTATTTTCTAGTATAGTTGTAGTCACCGTTCTTGGCGGTTATGTCATCAACGCGATATGAGATCGAGTCTCCGCACCATGAGCGTACTGCTACTCACTCCAGTACGCAAGAAGTGGGTAACATGAGACCGCTGTTTTCATTCTCTTCGTGGAAATACTCTAATGAATTTAGCACGAGCCGTCGGCCTTCTCCATTGATCGTATTTCCAGGCATCTTACAATTTTATATTGAAGATTGATAACAGGACAACTCAGATTCCACGCCGATGTCAAGTATGTTGTCACTCTGACAAATATGATTGAAGGGCACTTATACGTAACGACAAAGTTTTAGAAACGGAGACACACAACTAAAAAACGTATGTCTTTGAGCTTACCGAACAAACGTTCACACACCGGACTGGGTTGCATGAGTATGCATGAGAGAGATGGATGTATGAAAGCAATTCCTGTGAAAAACCGTAAAAAGACTATATATACCAAAGTTTTTGCGATATCTCCCATTTCTGAGGACCCCTCAACACAAATCATACCTTCTTGTCAGAATTGGTATGTACCATCGCTGTTGAAAGATCCACTGAGATACTGTGTGAATTTTTGTGCTCTTTTTCTGACGTGTTTGTAGCAGCTGTTGTTGTACTAACACTAACTTTTCTAGTTTTACTGTTCCTCTGGCTTCTATACAGACCCTTCCACTGATTCTGAGCCGAGCTCAACCCGGGTATTATGTAAAAAAACCTATAAAACGTCAAAAAACTACTATAAAATGTCATTTTGCAAACTACACAGGTAGTTCTTAGGGTGCAACCAGTCATTCCACATTTACGCATTAGGATCGTTGTGAGCGTCCATCTATGGAGGAACTACATCACTTCACGCATTGTTGGTTGCATATGTTTTGTGAATCCGAGTAGTCTATATAGTTTTCATCTCTGAGAAGAAAGTTGGTTGAATAGCAAGATCGTATTGTATATAAAATCAGTGATATTTGCTGTGTGAGAAAATCATTACTGAATATGCTGCCAATGAAGTATATCTATAGCTGTTCCCGTCGGGTTATTTATATATTGTCCTTTCTGAAGTCAGGTTATGTTCAAAGTTATAAATTATGATTTTTACGTTTTTTTTGTGTTTTCAAAAACTGAGGAGAATTACGGGAAATCACCACCGCGCCCTCGGTGTGTGTAATTACTGTTGTCATGTAAATAATCTGTAATTCGACAGTGAATATAATTATTTATCTCTCTCATTTTTTAAACTCAGCAAATTTGAATATGTAATTCCCAGAATGGATAAGAAAAAGTGTAGAGAGTATTTGCGACAAGAATCCAATATTATCATCAACATATTTATATTAATTAGCACACAAATCCTCACTATGCACATATGCATTGCCGTTACCCCCAGTAATGCCATATCTGAAGCAGATTTTAGATCACATCAGAGTCAAACAGCCAAAATTGAATTAAACAAGATGCTTTCGTCCGTCCGACCAGAAAAAAAAAGACAGCCAATGGACAGCTGATTCGTGCTTCTTAGCTACTCATCAGCATTGTATGGACTTGGTCTGTTATCTCTGGTGCGATAGATGGCGCTTTGCGCTATCTCATGCATTGATAACTGAAGCCTCATGACGTATAGACAACACGTCCAACTACGAATTCACAACGTGTCCGTCAGCTAGTGCTAACATCTCGTAGAAAAGCCTACTTAATGTCACCAAGGTACGGGAGGCTTGACAAACATGTCCTATCCCACGTTTGGAGAAGACGCAGAAGAAGGCATAACCCGTCGGCCTCTTTTATTTTCAATCAGCTCTGATAGCATACTCGTATTTGTCCGTTTCTGTATTATGCCCTCTCCAGACTCACGCGCGATTCGCGCGAACTACCCGCGATCTCATTCGCGTATTCTTCGCGGCTTCACGTCGCGTTCGCGCGTTGTTCCCGTTTGTTGTCGATTTTTTGTCCCGCGACAAAGGGTTCGCAAGGCGCGAACATGACTAGGCTCCACATTCGCTGGTGGTTCAGTTGCCTCATAGCGAGTGTCGGGAGTGGTTGTGTTTTTTCCACTTATTTTCAATTGGTCTAGTTTTACTTATATATGCGTAATTATAAAATGCCAAAGCGCAAAGTAGCACTGCAGCAGCAGTAGCAATTTCACCATCCATACTCGTCAAGACCGCGAACTATACTGTGAAGCAGGCGCGAACATCTGCGAGTGTGGAACTGTAGGAAGAAATTTCGGGATTCGCACCACGATCCGAGCCGCGACTTCACGCCGTGATTCGCGCGTGAGTCTGGAGAGGGTTTAACAGTTGTGAGCTTCTGGATGGTCTTGTCCCTTTCCGCTAGTTGAGATCGAAAGGCCGCGCACTCCTTGCAGCAGCTTTAACTAGATACGCCAAGCTGTTTGGTACATTGGTGACTGCGGCACGTGTGCGGCGCCGGCACAGATTAATTGAGGTCGCTCATACAATAGTCGCGATCAACAAACTTAAAATCAGGATATCTTTTCGTTTTGAAATGTTTTAATCCGTGGGGGCTGCGATCGTAAATTGTTACAGAGTGTACTTGGTAATTGTCTGGCGTACACGTACATGTTACTAAGTAACGCAAGTCTTGCGTTCGGAAATAGAACATCGTAATCCTGAAACGTTAAGTGTGCTTTTCTTCCCGAGCTCAAAACCTTGGAAATAAGAGTTCTGTCACTGGTCATTATCATGGTTCATTGTTTGTTTATTTTGTTTGGTTGTCAAAAAATGCTCAAAATTGGCAGAATATATATTTTTCCTGATAAATGCTACCCCGTATCCCCAGGGTCTCTTATAATAATTACAATGGTCGCAAAGAACGTGGTTAGCAATTAGTCGGTTGTCATCAAGTAGTGTCATTACATGACTGTAATAATTTAGGCGTTCTAGAAAAATAAAGTTTCACAGTATTCCAAAGTAAGATTCGATCTGTCAATCTACATTCCATTACTATGCACGGTGTTACATTACCAAGTGATTTACAAACACACCTCTGTAGCTCAATTCTGTAAGAATTGATTTTTTTCCTATCAATTTAGTTATGGATTCTCTCCAGAGATAAACCCTTCTAATTATCTCTACTAGAACCCTTTTGACGTCATCTGTGAAACAGTAGCTGAATCTTTAGGTCATTTCCTTTATTCTGTTCCTATTTTAGAAGTAATACTTCTTTCTACTAGATAGCGCCACAAACCTCAGCTCTTGGCGTCATCTGTGGGAAAACTTTTAAAGACTTTTAAACAAAGAGTGACCACGTTTGTAGAGAAATCTTCCACTGTCTTTATTAAGCATGAAGCCTTCATCTGTCAATTGTCTATTTGGCAATTTTGGCGGGTTTTTTGTTACCTTTTTACTGTCGCTTATTAGCGTAATATTTTGATATAGACCACAATTTGGTGTGAATTTAAGTGACATTTGTGTAAAAATATTACCATGGATCTGCCCTATCGTGTAGAGTATGCGAAATCAAGTCGAGCAAGTTGTAGAGGATGCAAAATGGGAATAGATCAAGGCGATCTGAGACTTGCCGTTATGGTCCAGGTAGGATATTATGTTTTAATAATACCTCATCAACCAATACGTCTTCTAATATATTCTAGAGATTTCCACTGCCTCTCCTATCCCAGTTGTAATATAACATGACTCTTGAAATTTTTCATGGCCATTACTTTTGGGGACCGCATAGGTTGTATTGGTCTAGGTACACAAATTTCAATTTTTGTTTTCAGTTGCTACAAAGATTTTAATTAGTAATTGCATTGCCTCTCCAAACCAATAATTAATCGTCACCCCCAATTTCCCTAGGCTCCTTACAGCCTCATCAGTAGGACCCTAATGCCCACAGGGGGGGCGGTAGTATCTGCTAATTTTACATTTTACTGTAATGATGTAACGTTTTAAGAAAAAATAATGTTTTTGGTCTGAACCTGGGCAAAATTGGCAATATTTTCTAATGAATTCATCGAGTTTACAGAGGATGCCTATCTATTAATGAAAAAGCATATACTGTTAACTCAGAATTGTCTAAACTGTTGTTTCTTAATTAATAGTACAGTAAGTACTTTGCCATGTTGTTTGTCACACTCTCGGCATATATAATCCTTAGTATATGAAACCCATATACATTTATTACAGTATCTTTACAAATATATTATACTAAACGATCGATGAAAAGTAATTAAAAAAATATTATGAATTCAGAGTAAGTGCCTTTTAAAGTTTCTGCTGGTGCAATTGCTTTAGTTATAAAGTAAAACACAGTAGCTGTATGGTTTTTAAGCAAGAATAGAGTAAGTATGGGATGTTTACTATGTTTTAGTTTATTATTGTGCAGGTGTCATTTAAGATGATCGTAAAAATGCTAGATGCTGTAAAAGAAAAATTCTAGATTTTCTATATCATGACATATATACTGTATTTTACCATTAAAATATTCTTCTACATGCCTTTCATATTATAATCCATTTTTTACACTTACTGCATTCTAGCTTATGATGGCTGTATTGCCCCTATGAGAAATACTGATCACACAAGTCAATTAATGTAAACCATAGTCATAGTTGTTTATTGGCATTTTACACAAACTCTGTTTATACAAGTCAATAATTGCATAAATAACTAAGATGTAATCCATACGAGTATGCAAAAAGGTATAGAGCTTTGTTAAATCAAACAGTTACAATAGCACAATGAAACAATAGACATGTTAAAATATAGTATGTATAATGTATAATAAAGAATGAATAACAGACTCATAAAAAGTCTATTATTGAGTAGGGGCACAGCTCCACAAGATACCTCCTCAGAAGTTTTTTAAGAATTATGACATTCTAAAGAATGAATAACAGACTCATAAAAAGTCTGTTATTGAGTAGGGGCACAGCTCCACAAGATAGCTCCTCAGAAGTTTTTTAAGAATTATGACATTCTAAAGTCCTTAAAGCTCAGAGGAAAGCTTATTATAGATTTTTATACAGGCATACTCAGGTGACTTTTCAAACACTGTTAATGCATGTGATGGTATGCTCAAATCCATGCCAGCTCTTGCGCTGTAACGAACATTTGCATTTTTATTTTTAACAAACCTATATTTGTTATGGAATGCATATAGAGTGCTGTTAATGATCTAGAGTGCCAGAGTGTTAGTAGATTATAACTCTTGAATGTAGACCTACGATATTCACGCCTGGGTATCTTAAAAATTTATGTCACTTTTCTTTTTCAATTGTGAATGGCCTGTTCACAATATGAGCTTGTCCCCAAACTATTATGGCTGGCATTAAACAATACTGCTTGTGTTACACAGTTTAAGATGGCAAAATATGACTTGTTGAGAGTTTTACATATTGAGTCAATATGCATTTGCCAAGTAAGCTTGGAATCCATCATAATCCTCAAAAAAATCCCTGAGTCAGTGTCGATGACATGAAGCTGTGACCTACTTGTAATAAAGTGAATGATAACAGTCTTGTCAGTATTTAAAATCAAGCGATTCTATTGGCACCAAAGCTGCATTTCACTTTTCACTAGGGTAATATGACGAACAAGTTCCTCGAATGTAGTACCACTTACTACAACTGAGATATCATCAGTGTAGCTTATTACAAAGCCAGATAGGCTCAAGTCATTGACAAATAAATGAATAGCAAAGGTGCAAATAGTGATCCTTAAGCAGCTCCAATATTTATGTTGTACTGTTTCAAAATTGTACCATTCACCTTAACTGGAAGTGCCTCTCAGACAAAAAATACAAGAGCCAATTCAATAAAAAGCCCCTGATTCCCATGAAGTACAGCTTTTCCTCTAATATGCTGATACTCATAATATCGAAGGCTTTTGATAGATCAAAAAATATACCAGCTACATATTTGCCATGGTCTAGCTCTTTGTTGACATGGCTGACAAATACAAATGCCATAAATGAGAATAGTCTGCAAAATTGGTTTTTCTGGTGTGCATTATTTTCTCAAACATTTTAGAAAATTCAGATAGAATAGAGATCGGTCGGTAATTGTCGATTAGCAGAGGATCGCATTTCTTGAACACAAGTATACCTATAGCAAAATTTTCTTTAATTTGCTTCCTACAACTGTGGAAAAGTGTTTACCAAACTCCTCCAATACACATGATGGAGTGTCAATCACTGTGTCGTTCTCGTTGGTAAGAGAAATAGGTGAGTGTTGTTTTTTGCGTCCCAGCTCAGAGTTGACTACTTCCCAGACTGTTTTCGGCATGTTATCGGCGCGATCAATTTGATCACTAATATAGTCCCGCTTTGACTTGATAATCAGCTGTTTGTGGGCCTTCTTTACCGCCAGTTACACCTTAGATATTCGTCATACTTATGTTTTTTCAATATGTCATGGAGTCCTTGAAGCGTTTCACTAGAATGTTTACTGTATTTACTGCATCTGTTACCCATGCATTGGTGTGTTTTTTTGCGTTATGAGACTGTCCTTTGAAGGCAAGTTATATTGAGGTGCCATAAAAAAGTTTCCATGAAAACTCCGAATGCTGTGTCTATGTCATTGCTCTCATCAACATTCCAAGATTCTCTACATAGTCTTTGTTTGAAATTTTGAACATTGATATTGTTCACTAATCTTACAGTATATTCTGTACATGCACTGTTTGCTTTATTGCTTAAAAGAGTAAATAAAAACATCAAACAATATGTAAGTAAGACAAACATGAAGCACAAAGTGGCAATAAGGGGTAAAAAAGTTAGTAGAGCCAAAGTTAATATTTAGATGAACAATAAATATAGATGGTTAAAAAATCATAAAAGAGACTATATATACCTAATAAAAATTATTTCATGCTCCAAAAATTGTTAAGGAAGTCATCAACATAAAAAAAAGCTTCAGATAGTAGGAAGCATTCCATGATTTTGCCAAATTGTTCAACATTGAGAGATTTTATTTTATTTGTCAATGGTTTGCAGAATTTTAACTTGCGGATACAAATATTCTTTGTTTCTGATGTCGTAATTATGAATATCTTGATGGGTTTTATAATTGTGAGAGTGAGTTTTAACATGCATGAAGCAAGCATAGATGTATATACAAGGCAGTGTCAAGATATTCATTTTAATGAATTAATTCCTGCAAGGATCCCTGACATTCAAATTTGACATCTTCTCTGTAAGCCAAAAATTCTAGGCATGTGTGAAGATTGACCCCATGCCAGAATGGGCAGTTATTCTACTGTGGAAGTATGCATGATAACTGAACTTCTCAGGTTATGTATCAGATAAATTACTGTAATATATTATCTTATTTAAGTAATAATAATAATCATCACCTTTATTTATAATGATTACATTACGAAAGGGTGAAGTTTAGCTTTTGCAGCTATTCCTCTACTTGCCCCAGTTAAATCTATCTTTGGCTTTTGAGGTAACTGTTTCTCCTCTCATTTTGAAAGGGACTTATGATTTAGAACATGACCTACAGTTTTAAATGGATTTCATGGATTTGAAAGAAACTAGAGTTTTGCAGATTAGATATAGTTATTTTCACGGTTTTTGGTGGTTGAAAGTAAAACTGCAGGAATTGCTTTCATACATCCATCTCTCCCATACATACACATGCAGCCTACCCCTGTATGTGAACATTTTTCGGTAAGTTCAAAGACATACGTTTTTTAGTTCTGTGTCTCCGTCTCGAAAACATTGTCGTTTCAATCTAAAATTGTACAATTCCCAGAAATACGATCAATTTTTAAAAATAAATATATAAATAAATGAAAATGTCCAGGAAGAGAATGAAAACAGAGGTACCCTGTTACCTACTTCATGCGTACTGGAGAGAGTAACAGATGCGCTATTAGTCTGTGCCCATGGTACAGAGACTCGATCTGTTTACTTATTTCGTGAGGCGTTGATGACGTAACCACCAAGAACTGTGACTACAACAAACTATAGTACTTTACTCTGATTCTCTTTATCATTATACATTTTAGTCTCGTCACTTTGATGGCAAGACCCCAAACTGGTACCACTTCAAATGTTTCTTTGAGAAGCAACGACCAAAGACAGTAGATGATATAGAACACTATGAATCTATCCGAGTTGCAGATCAAGATAAAATCAAGGAACGTGTTGGTCTATCTGCTGTTGCATTGTACCAGATAAAAAGGGAAAGAAAAGGACTGTTGACAAATTGAAGCAACAGGCACTTAAAGATTTTACGATTCAGTATGCTAAGTCTGGAAGAGCTATGTGCAGAGGTTGTGAACAAAAAGTACTCAAGGATGAGGTAATTTTCATAATAACTAGCTAATAGATCTTTCAACAAAATAAATAAATTATAGATTCACAAGTTTGGAAAACATCACTATAGGTATGATCAAATTTTCCTATATCTTTATGAGATTCTGATTCTGCATCATAAAGGATTATTGTATGTTTGTGATTAAGAAATCCTCAAGTGTTGTACAAAATATGAGGTTTCTGTGTGGGAGCAGATTTTATGATGAAATAGATTTCTATATAACATCTAGATCAAACATTTATACACATTTGGAAAACCCATTTTTGTGGCTTCCTCCATCTCTGTTTTTTCCTTTCTTGCAGCTCTTCTATGTGAATCTTTAATATGAAAAACCCACCCACTTTTTATTTTTTTTTATGTTCCAGATTCGAATCTCAAAGAAGATTATGAAACAGATGTTGGTGCCAAATATGGAGGTCAAGACATGTGGCATCATGTTCAATGTTTTGCCCAGTTAAGAGCTGATCTTGGCTTTTTTGAATGTGCTGACAAGCTGCCTGGATTCAAAGGACTTAGCCCTAAGGATCAAGTTGAAGTCAAAAAACAAATTCCGTAAGATTTGAATTTTTGAAGATTCACTGTGCAAGCTTTATGCAGACTGAATCTACCATACAATATGCTTTTAGATGTCTGGATTAGTATGTACATTATAGTTTTTCTGGTTAATCATTGCATATACAGGATACTCCGTCTATAACGTACATGGGATATAACATACTTTCGGTTATTTCGTACTTGGGTATTTCTCAACGAATTTAGAAATTTCATTTTGCATTTCTGAAAAAAAGAAATAATGAAATTATATCCTTTTTTTGCAGAAATATAAGGTTTTACTTTAGTGAGGTTCATTGAAAATGAAGGTCCTCCATATTTTTGTGTATAACATGAGGAAAAATGACTTTTATAAAACTATGAAATGAATGAATTATAGCATGGGGGAATGATTTTTACAACAATTTGATGCTAAAGTTCAATAAAAAACATAAGTTAATTTATTAATAGATGTATTGAGATTTGTTTTATACTTTAGAGAGCTTAGATAGTCCTTCCCTGGGCACGTCCTCGTATTTTCATCCTTCTCTAAGAAATGAACATCACCCTTAACTTTCAGCATTTTGGAGCTAACTTTACGAGTACAGTTCTTTTGTATGTATCGTTTTTGAAAAAATGTTTCGGTCTATATAGCAATTTTTATCTTTTGTACTAATTGCAGCTTCAACATTTGTAATATTTTTTCTTTTCTCCATGTTACTTCCAAATCTTCATAGATATTCGTGAGGTCCGTTGACAGTGCTTCTCCGAAATGAGTATTTTTCTTACAATGTCAGTATTTTTAGTTTTCAATCTCAAACACCTCTTGTTATATTTTTCGCTAAGCTTGACTGCGTTGCTTACTTTATTTTCCAAACTTTTAATCTTCGCTTAGAATAGTTCGCCGCTTGGGCATTCTACTATTGAGAGCCGACAAATTCTCTGCTCTGTGCTATAAAGATAGTGCAGGACGTGGTGGGGGTGTTTCTTCAACTATTCTCTGTAATATAATTCGCTTTACCCTAAAAACTTTAGTATTATTTTTCCATTGTTTTTGTTTTGGCTAGTTTCTCTTGCACTCATACAACTTATTGACTTAACTTGACTTCTTCTTTAATACTTTAATCTTTCTTTTCACGCAAAGCTTCTAAAGACTTAGCTTTAATTTTCATTTATTCCCGCCTCTTTGTGTCGTACTCCTTCTTTTTTAATTTCTTTTCTTCTTCACTTAACTTCTTTGTTTTCCCCATTCCCCAAAACAAGAAAAAAATTATTAAGCCATTCGAACAGTATAATGACTTACCTTTTAATATAGACAGTGAGGTAATGACACAGAGAAATGTAATGTTCTAATTATTGAAATCCAATATTTTTTTGCAGCAACTCTTTTCACTATTAAGAAAATCCGCCATGTTGACATTATTAGCAGTATTGCCAAAGTTTTAAATACTTAACAGCTGCGTTCAAAAATATCCACAAATCAAATATTTATAATGGGTGAGGGAATGGTTTCATTTCAAGTGACATAATTTAAATAGATTTTTTTATAGGCATATTTATTTTATATCAATGAAAGCTTGACTATATAATCCATACTTATTACCAAATATTTTAGTAATATTCAATTTATAAGAATATGAGCAGATTTGATTGTATATATATTTTTTATTAATTTGCTGAGAAATACCCACTTATTTCATTGGAGTGAGATGAAAAACTAAGACGTCAAAAAAGAAAAATATTGCTTCTAGTTGACAATTGTGCAGCTCATCATAAGAATGTTGATCTGACATATATCGGATTAGAATTGTTGCCTCCCAATTCCACCTCAGTCGTGCAACCAATGGAGCAAGACATGATAAAATGCGTTAAACATATCGTAGATATTTTATGTATCGTCTAATCCGAGCATTGGATAATAAGAAAACTTTCAACATAACAATTTTAGACTCGATAAAATTAATTGCACAATCATGAAATGACGTTCAAAAAACACTATTGGAAACTGCTTTCAACATGCTGGTCTAGTGAAATCGATCAACGAGTTTGATTCAGATGATGACTTGCCTCTGAATCAATGGTACGAGCAATACAAAAGTATTGATGATGATTGGAACGTCCCCCTAAGTGATTGGTTGCGAAGTTACTGCCCAGACTTAACTACTGTGGAAAAATGTCTTCCTGAACTATATAATTTTACGACCATCGACGATAATTTGGAAGCAGCGGAAACCTTAACGGATTGTGACATTATTGCTGAAGTTGTAGAGTCAAATTATTCAACGAATGATCTAAGTTCAGATAACGAAAGCGGCGATGATGATGGACAAGTGAACGAACCAATTCCAAGTTATTCTGAAGCACTTTGTGCAATTAAAACTGTTACAAATTTCTTACAATTTTTACTGATTATGGATCTGACGATAAATTTTACAAGCCTCATTAATTAAAAGTTGAGAAGCACACCGAGAATATAAAAGTGTGTAAAAAAAATCAACAAACAAAAATAAGTTATCTTCTCGAAAAATCATAACTCTATGCGTAATTAGATGTGTAATTGTACATATTTAATTTGATTTTGTCCTATTTCAATGATATATGTTACATATATTCATATTGCTATATGCTTTTTATATTACATACCTAGAATGTATGTTTAGTTAGTTCAGTCCTTTAATTGAACCAAAATTTACATATTTATTTTTATGGGTTTCGTTTATAGCGTACCTCCGGTTATAAAGTATTCATTTTTTTCTCCCTAGATGGTACGTTATAACCGGAGTTTACTGTAATCTCTACTGACTTCAAATGTTCTGAGACTTGAGAGATTTTGTAGAATAAAATAGTGAGGTGTAGTATAAAGAATGCTGTAACATCCGAAACTTATCCTTGTGGTTTTCAAGCTGATAATACTCTATGTTTGTCTGGCCGAATCAAACCGGAAATGTTTAAAATCCGTCTTTATTTTATGACATTGTGGTATCAACACATTGTACTTGAAAAATGCCACAGCTGGGACCAAAAAGTCATAAGGAATTGTAAACATATATGCGGTTTGATTCAGCCAAACTTGGATAAAATATGATGTTTTTTCTTCAAGATGTTGGGTACTTTCAGGCCAATAAAGCAAGAAAATATTCCCGAAGTGAAGAAGATAAAAACAGAAGATCAGGTGGATAGTGTAAAGAAAGGCCCAGAAGAAGAGGAGTATAGAAAGCAGAATAAAATTATGTTTGGTTATAGAGATGCTTTAGCAAAGCATTTGGACAATAAAGAGATGTCCTATCTTTTGGAGTACAATGATCAAGAGGTACCACCTGGAAAAGATAGAGTAAGTACTTTGTTGATGACACCAACTTGCTATGTCTAATAGAGTACAATTTTCATGAGGGGTCAAAAATTGCTTGTATATACTCAGAGATCAGAGAGAGATTTCAGTAACGCATAACTATTGTTATTTGAATTCTTATTGACTTTACATGTTGTAAGTTATGTGTACTTATCACATTTTATATTTGCAATTCCCTCGACGCTGATTTATATACCGCATTTTTGGCACGCTTCTCATTGTCGTCATCATCCCCGCACAGGTATTACGTAAAAAATGACATTTTGTCGTTTTTTAACCATTTGTTTGTTTTTTCTACAACATGTCAACTTAGCACTGGCTGTTGTACACTTGTTGTGAACTCGTTTTGACCTCCAGTAATACCATCTCTGAAGCATCACGTTAGAGCCAAACATTGATAACTGAAGCCTCATGACGTTTAGGTAACATGTACAACTACAAAACGAGTTCACTACGTGTATATCACCTAGTGCTGAGTTAACATCTTGTAGAAAAACCTACAGAATGTCAAAAAAATCAGCATAATGTCACTTTTCAGGATTCGTAATACCCGTGCCTGATAGTCTTGTAGAGCCTAGTAGAGTATATTTCAATAGTTGTCTTGTGTGGCCATGTTACCTTTACTCGGGCCAACTTCTCTTCACAAAGTACAACAAATAAATAACCCGTCAAGCACAGCTAGTGAATATACTTCATTGACATCATATTCATTAATAATTTTCTCACATAGCGAATATCACTGATTTTATGCACATGCAGGCCAATACACATAATTATCCAGATGCGATCTTGCTACTCAACCTACTTTCTTTCACATCTTCTCAGAGATAAACAGTACAGACTACTCAGCTTTCCGGAAGCAACCAACAAAATGCATGTCGCGACGTGGTGTCATTCCTCCGTAGATGGACGCTTTTGATGGCTCTCACTGCGGGCAAACGTGGAATGAACTTTTTTTACGGGTTTCGGGGTTTTCACATCATACCCCTGCCGGCCTGCCATTTGATTGTTTTTTGGTTAGGTTACTGTCGAATTTTTGACTCTCCATCTGCGCGTAAGACTGCAAAGTATTTATATGTTATGTTTATTTTAACAAATTACGCTGAAAAGCTGAACATCAATCAGAAAAATTGACAATCAATAACAGTGAGAATAAACTCCTGTCATTTTAAACTAATCAACATAGAGCTGGCTGATCACAGGTCGCAAATCGTGACATGAAGCCGATAGCGTTGCGTTTCGATACTTCAAATTCACCGCGTATTTTTTTAAATTTTTTATTGGTGTGATTTTATAGCGCTCAAGTATGAAATACGGTTCAAGACGTCATACTGTAGCAATATAGACAGTAAATAAAAATATTTAGGCAATATTTGAATCACATGCATATTATTCCCTATTAGTACTCATATATATTTAAATGGTAGATTTTTGTCTTACTATATTTTGAACCCTCATACACTATCATTGGAGCCATCGGTTTTTTTATTTATACCGGGTGTTTCAAATTCAACTCTTACCATTGGGATCTCAGAACTGGTAAGATATATGAAGTAACTAACACAATGGCACTCAAAAAGTTTCGTAATTCAAAGTTATTCCAAAGAGAGGCGGAAAAAACAGAAATTTTTCAAAATCGTTTTTAGTCTTCCTGGCTTTATTGCAGGTGGGATATCAAAATACACTACTCATTACAATTGCCACTTTTTGTGGATAAGAAGGATTAATTAGAATTTCAATATGACTTTCCATCTATTGTCCTCAATCATCAACTTTATTTTTTATGGACGCCATCTTCGATTTTTGCAGAAGTGAATAGAGTTTTTGATTTTGATTCCAAAATAATAATTAATAATTAACGTCTTTTATTTGTAATGTTCTTACAGGAGGCGAGATTTAGATAATATATCTATTCTACCATCTAACCATGCCACACATTAAAAGGTTACTTCAATTAAACTAGTATGTTCCTAGTTAGCCCTGAAAATGACAGCTCATCGCATGTCTGATTAAATCACTAACGCTTCAGTTTCTGAGACGCGTGTTTAAAGGGCATTCAGATGATTTGTCCATTTATGGATTATAAAAAGCATTATTTTAGCACGATGGGCACGCTCTAAAAGACACATCAGCCGTAAATTAATAGTATTTGAATGCAATAGGTGTTTATCATCGAAGCTTTCCCCTTATTTTTGTTAGTTATATATTACATTTTTCAATGTTTTCAATACTGCTCTTAAATAATACAAACATGTTTTAGCATTGTTGTTCTTTATTCAATGAGTTAAGATCAACTATAGGAAGATTACTTTTTTAGTCATGAAGTTGTATAATACCAATCAATTTCATGATATGTACAATCACATAGTAAAAAGTGATAATAGGGACTGTTCATCTATGCCTAGTTAGTAAAACCTGAAGGAGTGCTTGGCTGTAAAGGTCCATTCACACTCAGCCGTGACGTAACATTGCCGTGACGTGCCAGTGATTCTCGCTGACGTGAGCTCACCGTGTTTTCAATTCACACCGGTCAGTGTTTTTCTCCTTGCTCTGACAGTGCAGTTGTGTTCACGTGAGATCGGTCGAAATGGCAAAATTTGAAGAAGAAACGAGAAGAAAACGGAAGTTCATGTAATTTGAATTTGACTAGTTCTACAGCACAAGATGTGCGCGCACAAATTCAATTAGTTTTTCGCTGGGCGGATCACGTACCGGTCACAACACTGTCACGTCACGGTTGAATATAAATAGGCCTTTAATATTATGAGACAAATGACTCTGATAATTTCAAGGCCTACTTAGGAAATTCCGTTTTTTTTTCCTAAATTTTGGCAATGTCAATGTATGAGCACAGCTTAAATAACAATAAGCTATGAAACTCTCCTGTCAGTGTCAAAAACGGTCGCCATGTCGGCGGAGAAAGTCGAATGTAAACTCCCCCAGTACAACAATGAAATAGTTTTTAGTGCTCAGCAGCAGCTGGTACACTATATCATATCGAAATATTATCATTTTAAGATTGCAAATAATATATGCGGCCGCTGGCATGATATGAGGCAACACCGGCTGCTACTGAGCACTAGAACCTCTTTCATCGTTGTACTGGAGGAATTTATATTTGACTTTTTCCGCCAAAATGACGGCCGTTTTTGACACTGACATGAGAGTTTCATAGCTGATTGTTATCTAAGCTGTGGAATGAGTATGACATTATAGATTTTTGGTATCAGATTTAAAAACTATTCAGCTATCCATTATGACGTCTATTAGAAAAAATAAAGTCGATGATTGATAACAAGAGACGAACCGTCATATCGAAATTCAATTTATGCCTTTTACTTCCCTCGCCTAGTTGCGGAAAAGTATTGAATTATGTTGTTTGGATGTTATTGACATGCACATCACGAAAAACCACGTCACTCATTTCCGTCGATCTGTCTGCTAATCTTAGAACCGCCTATAACTCAAGGAATACCGCTCGGATTTCGATGAATGAATTTTTTACACAATATCACTGTCAATGACGCAAAAGCTTTGTAGATTTTGAAAATTGGTCCAGTGGCGGCTGAGAAAAAGTTCAAAAACGAAAAAGATTAAAAGTCACCTAAATTTCGTTTTTTTTTTCACGTTTCAGTGGATCTCAGTTATGTGATGGTAGTACGTTTATCCGCTCTCAACCTTGATAATTCTACGCACATATTAGACATTTTTCACAAATCATGGACTACATTAGTCCGTAAATCTATTCTCAGCAGTAAGGCCTTCGTGAGTGCTGTGTTGTTGATTATGGTATGGTATCACACGAATTTCTGCCGCGCCACGTTTAAACGGACAGGCAACATTTCCAGATCCATCACCGGTAGGGCAGGGAAAGAACATCTATTAACTACTTGTATCGACCTGTTTGACTTACTTTTTTCTCAGAAGGTCTAGTTAGTGCTGAACACAATCCCTCATGAACTGATAACAGCATTGCGTGGGAGTGCAAAGTCAACCTTCTAATATTTTTGGTGTGCAATTATTTTGAGATTCCACCTAAAATAAAGTCAGAACAAAATGAAAACTGTTTTGGAAAGATTCGTTTTCTTTCATCTATCTCCGGAAATACTCTGCCCCCATTTAACCGACTTTGTATTTCTTACTGTTTCCAAGATTCCAACGTTGAACGTCGAATTTGAAAAATTAAAGATGACTCGAGAAAATGTATTTTGCTTTTAGATATTGGATCGTCTATCTGACATAATGACATTTGGAGCACTCCAGCCATGTACAGTCTGCAAAGGAGGACAGTTGGTATTCAATAAGCTTGGTTACATCTGTACTGGTGACCTAACTGAGTGGAGTAAATGTAACACTATTACAAAGACTCCTGAACGAGTACCATTTAAAGTGAGTTTCAGTTGAACATCCTCAATTTATACATTGCTTAGTGCCCCAAAAACACGTAAGCAAACAATACTTATGCATTGTGACAAAAAACTTACAGAAACGCGAGGTTTATTTACAGAAGCATCATGAACATTATATATATTTCAGGTTCCAGACGATTACGCTGAAGCTTACTCATTTTTGAAAAAGTATAAATACAAACCAATGACAAGAGTTATCCGAGAAGTTAAACCAAGCGTTGTAGTTAAGAAGGATGATGAACCTGATGGGTACTTATCAAAATATTTGCTTGCATTACATATTTGAACAGAGATTTATATAAAAACAATATTTTAATAAAACCAGCCAATCTAAAAACCTCAAAAGTCCAAAGTTGTATCAGAATAATTTATATGGTTATGTCTAATAATGATACACATGAGCTCAAATTAGAAACACTTGAAAATTGCTCAAAATGTAAAACCTTATGTGATCTTAACTATCAGATTCAAATAATCATTTATTTCTTCAGCCCTCGCGTAAAAAGAGAATTGCCAGCTCTGTACAACATGGAATTTGTGATTGTGGGAAAGCTGTCCAAAGAAAAAGATGAGATCAAGCGGGAAATTACTTCACTTGGTGGAAAGGTAGTGAATAAAATTTCTAAGAGTGTTATGGCTGTGATATCTACCCCTGGTGATGTTGAAAAAATGGGTAAATGCTTTAATTTCCAATTCGTAATCAAGGCTTATTTTTAAATGAAATAGATGGTTTTATGACATTCGAAACGTTTTTTAATTTTACTGGTGGATTTTTTCAGGTTCCAAAATGACGGATGCCGAAGCGGATCAGATTCATGTTGTTAGTGAAGATTTTGTAGATGAAGCTAAAAATAATACAGGAAAAATTCCAGATTTGATAATTCAGAAGAGTATATGCAATTGGGGCTCTGATGTAAGTTTTTTTTTTAATTTAACATGTCTGGAATTTTTATATGTTCAAGATATCATATTGACACATGTTTCTGTGAAGTTTATTGATAATTGCAGTTTAGTTCCTGAGAGTATCCATATAACATCTACATGAGCCCATATGATAACTTGAATATCATCAAAAATAACTTGAAAAATATTTACTGTTCGGCAGACAAAACACAACATGCCCAAAAGCGAGTTTATACAGGTCCGTATTTTTCTGAATGGTCTTGGAATAATCTAACAAAATAAATGATTATTTTTATAGAAAGAATTGCACATACTTTTCACAATAGTTTATTCACTGGAAGTACTTGAATCATCGTGCGAATGGCTAATATTAATTATTACAGGTTCAATTTCCATATTGTGCAGATCCCACATCTTTGTTTCGATTGTCGAACGTGACGGATGCAATATTTCCAGTGGTTTGCCGTCACTCTGTTGACAGCTTCTTAAAACAAATTTTTCATGTCAAAAAATTTGAATGTTCTGTTGTTTGAAGCCGCATAGTTTTTTATATTTGCCCAAATCATTTCAATGGCATTTAATCCGCAGTGATAAGGGGGTAGCTTATTTTGGCTTTTAGCCATTTCGTCAATAACATTCAGATTATATTTATATTTGTGCTGCTTGACCAGATGGATGACTTCTGCTTTGACCATATTTTCAATGAAACTAATGTCTTTTGATGCCATTGTTGAATTTCGTTTTTTTTGTGGGCATTGTGAGAATTTTTTCTAGTGTGGTATGCATCATTATCAAATACAATGTCGTCAAGGTTTGGGAGCATTTCTTCATACCATTGTTCAAATGAACTCCCGTCCATTTCTTCATAGTAGTTGGTCGTTTTCTTGACTCAAATGCCTATAGGGCAGTGGGCACAAGGCCACTGTGGCAGATAACAAATCGTTTTCCTCTTCCTGGAAATAATTATTTGGTATGATATTCAAGAAAACTAATAAAAATACAAGCAAAGTATCTAACAGGTGCTGGTTCCAAATCTACCAGATATAGCTAAGTTTAGTGTAGATAAGTTTTCAGCATGGGTTCAAAGATTTCGTCTACTTGACACCATTTCTGCCACATCAATGACTAATTGGTTAGATACACGTATCTGACGGATTCTTTAGGCCAGTGGTTAGTCCATCTACGAAGGCTAGTCTTGCTGATTTAATTGTAGAGTCAGCCCATACTTTAGGTTTTGTATGTCCGGCGTTTAACCAGGTTTCATAGAAGTAATAAATCTTCCTGCCCTGGTCGCGGTATTTCTTTATTGAGTTTAAATAATTTCTTCTCCATAAAATAATCTCTTGCCTGTTCATCAAAATAGTATTTCTGCCCCGTTTTCTATATTTAAAATGAAGTTCTTTGAGTAAACTATAGAACGTGGTCCTTTTGAAAGTAGGTCTTCATCACTATTAACCTCCTGCAATGCTTTGTCTATGGTACGAAGTTCCTGCCTTTCAAAAAATTAATGGACTTTGCATCTGATGGCAATCCGATCAAAGTTATCAACTGTATCCAACAGCTTCGTGTAATTCAGCCTCTTGTGTGGTGGAGACAATTTTTTTTTATATTCTTTAACAAAAATTGTCTTAGGACATAAGCCTGTTTGGTTCGCCACACGTCCGTCAATATCATGCATTTTCATTTCAGGATGCTCTAAAATTTCGCTTTTATAACGTTAAGGACAATTTCTTTTGTCTGAATATTCAAATGTCCCTTCTTGTCGCGTTATCGGGGAGGACACATCACTGAAGAGGAAGCATGGCTGAAGGAAGCATTGAGAGAAATATTCTCAGTTTCATCTGCTGTATCCGTAGACGAAATGCTAACATATGCACCGAATATGAACAGCAACTGCCGGCGTCGGCGATGCCACGAGCCTGAGTTCTATCCTGCCGAATCCTGCACTTGTTCGTAGTTTTATGGCCGAATGGAAAATAGCTATTTCAACGCTTAGGCGGTTGCAGCTTTGCCGTGCTGCATCTTTGTTGTGTCGGGGCGAAAATGGACTAAGAATAGGGTATAGCCAGTCTTATAGTCAACAACCCAGCTTTCTCTGTGAACGCCACCTAGACATTAAACCGCTTATAAGTCGAAAATGGTCATCTTTAGAGTAAATTTAATGGACGCATTTTCCACTCAAAATTATCCAAAAAACCTGGATAAATATGTCGGGAAAGCAAATGTGATTTATTTAAAAAAAATGTTTAAACAAATTTGATCTAAATTACCGTGCGGGTACATTCAATGCTTAAAAACTCGATTATAAATTATATTGTGAGGTCGTCAACTATCTAAATTAAAGTAAAAACATTGCTTTATAAGACCTTGAAGTGTAGTTTGAGATAAGCTAATTTTAAAGTGATTTCGACCTTGTTTTTCCGGCCAAAGGTGGGTAACTTTTGGTTTTCGCAGACTACATGGCATGTATCATCCAAAAACATATATCATTTTCGAAATATTTAGTGATTACATTACTTTCTAGGAATTATCCTAGAAAGTAAAACATATATGACAATTAATTACAACAAAATACACTACGAGCCCCTTACCAACTATTGAAACCTTAGTTTTTTTCTTATCAAACACAAATAATAAAAATGTATAGGTTTAAAATATTAACAATGAATATTTGATAATATATAGTAGAAAACACCAACTTTATCACTCCCTAATCAAATTTGCAGCATAAAATAACACATGTTGCAATTACAGCATATTAACCTATTTTCATTTCTATGCAAAATAAGTCTATAACGCATAGGTGGCTGTGAAAAATAAAAGCCATGACAATTGTTTTTATTAATCACAGCTGTCAGAATACGTTTAAAATAGTTTAAGTAGTTAAGGTTTTCAAAATGGGTAGAGGAAAGATTATTAGTAAGAAAATTCGGTTACTGGTAATTAAATTTTAAGCCACGATATGTGAAAAAAAGTAATATCACAAATGCCGACAGAAGAGCATTAAGAAGAATAATCGTTAAAAACAGGCGTGCCACTTGTTTACAATTAAGTGCTCTGTGGAGTGACGCTGTTGGAAGGAGAATTTCGAGGTCCTCAACTCGTAGAGAGGCCCACAAACTGGGATTTAGCACTTGCAAGGTAAGTTTCTTATAAAAAAAAAGTGAAGTAAAAACCCTAAAGTTGCACAACTTGTTTAGATGGGCTAAAGAACATGGACAATAAACACCTCAACAATGGTGTGCAATACAATGAAGTGATGAGGCCCAATTCGAAGTTTGTGTTGGTGACAGTCGCAGTAGAGTTATTCGCAAAAAAAAATTAAGCATTCCATGTTGACTGTCTGAAGAGAAAAGTGAAATTTCCAGCATCCATTGTGGTCTGGGGCAGTATGTCATCAAAAGGAGTAGGAAAACTTCATTTTATTGATGGAAATGTGGATACAACCAAATATTTGGCAATTTTAGAAGAATCGCTTTTACCAGTGATGGAAGAATGTTTGACATCCGGCCAAGATTTTGTGTTTCAGCAAGATGGTGCAGCGTGCCATACCTCAAAAAAGGCTATAAAATGGATGGAAGAAAATAATGTACCACTTTTGAAATGGGTTTCTAGCAGTCCAGATCTGTCACCTATTGAAACTTTGTGGCACGAGATGAAAAAGGTTCTACGACAACATCCTGCTCGTACAATCACCGAACTGAGACAAAAGCTTCAAGAAATATGGGATTGTTTTACACCAAATTTTTACCAAAACTTGGATAACAAAGAATTTCAGCCGTAATAAAAAATAAAGGTGATGTTACCCAATGGTAATCTTTCAATTGTTGCTTTGTTAACTTCGCGCATTTATTCGCACATTTTTATTTGTTCAGATGTTCTATTAGTTATAGGTCTAAGTGATTTCAAATATGTATTTTTTACGACTAGAGTGTATCTAAAATGTTTTTGAGAAAATGTTGTTTTAGAAGTAAATAGTTTCGTCATGTTTAGCTGATAAAGACATATTTTGGTACAAAGTGGGAAGGGGCTCGTATATAGCATTTTCTTGTAATAATAGGCTTTCACCACAATTTAAAAAACTTGAATTCTAAAATTGATCCTCTATAAGGAGATTACTTATTCGAGTCATTCTCTATATATGGAGGCTAAACTATTAGATTGCAGACAAATTTATTTTTATTGTGGTCTAATACATTTTACTAAATATTGGAAATACTTGAATCGTACCATTCACAACTACCGAACAAGATTGAATCAAAATTCAAAGTGTATTTCACAAACATCAAAAACCATTACACAACGATCTCTGTTTTTCTTGGGACCAAAATTCTATAACTTCATACCAGAGTGATTAAAAGAAATTAAATCAATTAGATCATTTAAAAAAGAACTCAGAAAATGAATTTTACAACAACCAAGATGCTCCATTTATGAAATTGTAGATGTGAAAAATCATTATCAAAATCAATAATATTTTACTTGCACTAACATCCATACTTTTACTTTAGTTATAATTGTCTGGATATTTTACCTGAGATCCCCATAATAATTCAATCCACCAAATTCTCTAGTATTTATGTTTTTCAAACAATGAACTTTTAGGTTTTGTTTCTAACAAACCCAAACCCAAGTGCAAAATTTTCTGGGTGATTTATGTTTACTGTGCACAATATTTAATGTTTACCTATACTTTGTGACAATAAACATTATTTTATTATTATATCTTATTTTTTTGAATATTTTTGCTAGTACATTACTTCCTCCCCGATTGTCGTGAGGGATAAAGAACCATTCTACAAAATACTTTTCTTTGTTTTCAGCCGTCAACCAGACTCCCAGCCGAACACAGCCTCAAATCAAAATCTAAATCAAAGTCTGCCAGCATCTACACCAAGTCCGTTCCAGACAAGATGAAGATCCAGATAAAAGGGGGCACCGCCGTCGATCCGGACTCTGGATTAGAGCACAAGGCGCATGTCTACCAGAGAGGCAAAGATGACATCTACTCGGCAGTGCTGTCACTCACGGATATACAGACGAAGAGGAATAGTTATTATAAGTTGCAATTGTTGGAAGGAGACAAGCATAAGAAGTATTGGGTATTCAGGGCTTGGGGACGGATTGGAACTACTATTGGAGGTGAAAATAACAAAAAATTATAACAAAATTAAATCAGCGTTTCGTAAATTAGCTGTCACTTTCAAAAATGTAATATTTTCAAATTTGATAAGATAAAGAAATCTGTACGACACGTTGAAAAGTGCTGTCTGGAAAATCGAAAGACGAATTCAGCATCTTGCAATAGGGAAAAAGTAGAGATCGGCCGATACCGATATATACGAGTACATGGTGCTTTCTAATTGAATGTCAATATTTATGAGGGTGATTTTTGGGTCTATTTTAAGAAAAACATTTAAAATGAACTTGTGACCTAAACGTTTGAGATAATGTGGTTAAAACATTCAAAATTTGATTTACGCAAATTTCGGTGTAAGAATAACAAAGTCTTTGTTCCATCAGGGGTTAACATGCTTTGTTTCGCATCATAAGTGTTGCTCGCCTCAGAAAAAACTTGATCTATTTTCTCTCTCTTTGAAATATATCAAGGTTGATAGTTTTATGGATATACTTTTCTGATGGTGACTCATAAAAAGGAACGGCCGATATAATCGAAATCACCAAAGATGACGATTACGTCATCATTTTAGTCTGTGCCAAAGACAAACGACAGCGATTTGTGAATATTTTTAATGAAGTTTCAGATATGTTAGACAGAGACAAACATGATTTTATTGCCTAAATAAACTGTATTGCTAACTTGCATGTATCCGACAAAGACAGACGATGTTTTCATGTTGCATGTTCGATCATATTTGAAAGATGAATAGTTAGGTTATGTTAAAGCAGGTTAGGTGGTTTTCGAATAATACTTTGGTATTTGGTGTTCCTGTCTTAAGGTATTCCACTCTTAACTGTTTTTTTTTTTCGAAACAAAAACTCCTCACTAAAATTATTATTAAGGTATCACTCAAAACCATGAAATAAAGTGAAAATAAAAATAATCATTGAAATAACCTAACTCATTATGTTCCTGAGATCGTGATTTTATCATCGACGTACGTCCATTGATTACTTCGGTATAATTTATGGTATAACCTAATAGTAATCTTTCGTGATTTCGAGTATATATTAGCATCCGCGAACTCGGTATACTTCTTTCTACTTTTACTTCCTACGTAACTGGCCAGGAAGTATTTCAGTCGAGATTATTGTTTTTTTGATGTTATATGACATGTACATCTCGAAAAACCATGTAATTTATTTCCGGCGGTCTGTCTGTCTACTATAACTTTGAAAGTACTACTGGGATTCTGATGAAAATTTCACACAAGGTTACTACTATGAAAAGGACGAAAAAACTTTGTAGTTTTTGAGAGTCGGTCCAGTGGAGGCGTAGCTACAGTGCTGAATCGCCAAAACACAGTTTTTAACTTTCAGAGCCTCGTGATCATTTTCAGAGAAAATTGGTGGTTGTAGGGGGTGGAAGGTTGTAAATGATACACCTGTTAAGGCATATTAATCACACAGAAATATGATAAATTGTATACAGTTTGATATATAGAGATTTACGATATAACGGACTCGGGTTCGATTTCGTTTTTACTTTGAAACTAGATAATTTTAAATAAAGACGTGGGAAGTATAGAGTGATTCTACTTAACGCGATTTTTTTATCGCAAACAAGCAGGATGATGAGTTTGCGAAAATCACACTTGTTTTTGCAAAAACCGTTAGCGCGCATTTTTTCGCTAAGGGTAAGTGGATATCGTACAAAAGGAGAAAATACCACATCTTTAAAGTCGAGGATGATGTGAACTTTTTTGTTTGACAGTTTTTGTTGTATCTCTAAAAAGAAAGTGGTGAGAGTGTTCAAAGGTTTCCGTAAAATACACCCTGTATCTTCGAAACGGTTGAGCCGATTTTAACAAACTTGTTAGTTGCACTTGGGCTACAAATGTTATATTTGAAGTTTTGTTAGTTTCAGAAGTAGCCGCTAGAGGGAGTTTTTCGAAAATCCTACAGAAATGCTTAATTTTCTCAAGAAAATTAAATGGATTGGTATGATTGTTGATATGAAAAAGTAGCTAAATGATGTCTACACAAGCTCGCGAAAACCGCATCTCGATATCTTGTTTCTCACCTAAAATTTAGGCCAAAGAAAATTTTATACGCAAATCTCTCAAATTTTTATTTAAATACCTAATCAAGTCTGTTCTTCAATAACCGAAATTATCCACGTCGGAATGGAGGAATACATCCCTCACACAGTAAAAGTTCCTAAACCAGGGTCCAACGGCTGGTTCAACAAATCGTGTGACACTGCTCGCCAGCAGAAGATCAAGGCCCACAGAACCTACTTACAAAACCCCACTGTAGAGAACAGACAAGCCGACGTCGAGTCCAGAAACAAATATAACGAAGCGGTTCGCAATGCCAAAAACCAGCATGATATAAAGTTAGGCACAGGGTAATGTCGCAGCGCAATGGCAGTCGGTCTTTCTGGACGCTGGCCAAGCAGATTGAAAAGAACTTCTCACACAGTAGCCTTCCACCACTTACGTGTCAGGATGGAACTATTGTATTCGACTCAAAGGCCAAGGCGGAAGTGCTAGCCAAGATCTTTGCTGCCAACTCCACCATGGACGTCCCCATCAACGCCCAAGTGCCGTCATTTGGGGTGCTGCCGCCCCGACTACATTGTCCATGCTCGATGCTGTCCAGAGGAGGGCGGTCCGATTGATCGATTACTCTTCTCTAACAGACAGTCTCGGGACTCTTTCGCACCGGCGGGCCGTCGGCGATCTAGCTCTTTCTATCGCTACACCAACGGGCTTTGCTCCTCAGAGCTCTCTTCCATGATGCCGCCGCGCGATGTGCCTGCCAGGCAGACCCGCCTGACTTCGGCGTCCCATCCTAACCGTGTCAAGCTTCGTACATCCAGAACTGGCCGATTCGACCGCTCCTTTGTCCCGAGGGTGTCTAGATTGTGGAACAATCTACGGGAGGAAGCTTTTCCCAGTTCTACTAACCTTAGGCAGTTCAAAAATCGTATTAACAAAATTTCTTTGGGATCATCATAGCAGCCGCGGTGTTCCGGCATTTAGGCTTCTGCCTGCGCGGCTGTTTCGATATAAAAAAAAAAAAAAAAAAAAATCATAAATAATCCTCAAATTGTCAATAGTTTCGCGTTACTTTGAACAATTTTATTGCTTTCCAAATGCGTTTTACGAACGGTGAAGCTGATCTGCTTGCAGTTTCTTTTGAATGTCTTCAGAATGCCGCAGTAGCAAGAAGAGTTTACGAGACTCAATATCCACTCGGCGTCTTTGCGATGTGAGAGTTTTTCTCCAATTAGTGGTTCTTTTCATCCTTCGTTTCAACCGCAAAAAATTGGAACAACTTAATATTAACTGCGTACTGGGGTATATTGAAGGAAATCCTTTTGTTAGCACAAAGGAATTATCCGTTGAGTTGAGCATATCACAAAGAACGGTTCAAATATTTTGAAGGGCCATAGGTAAGCTTTAATAGCTATAGAAATATAAGGATTTATTTAAATTAACTTGTTTAGTTACCTTTAGAATGCACCCATATCATGTCGTTTTGCATGAGGCCTTAAAACAGGAAGACTTTGATCGAAGGTTGGACTGTTGCCATTGGATGGTAGGCGTGATACGCGAAAATAGATAATTTTTATTTCAAATTCATTGGACCGATGAAGCCACCTTTAAAAGGTGACGGGAGAGTCAATCTGCACAATATGTATTATTGGTCTGCAGAAAATCCGCATTGTTTCAGCACGAAGGGCGTTGGAGTTTAAATGTGTGGTGCGGCATACTGGAATGCAGAATTATTGGGCCATATTTTTTCGAGCAATCCCTGAATGCCAATGTCTGTCTTGACTTGTTTGGGCAATCAATTACTGTTGTTGTTGGAAGATGTGCTATTGCAAGCACGGCAAAATTTGTATTTGCAGTTGGATGGTTGCCCGACACATTTTGCTATTATGTATTGTGCAAGAGCATATTAATGCAGTCTTTCAACAGTAATGGATTGGAAGAGGAAGTCTGTTTCCATGGCCTTCGCGATCACCAGACTTAATTTGTCTTGATTTTTATTTATGGGGACGGTTAAAGGACATATGAAATGCAGATATGAAAAACCGGATTCGTAATGCAATACGTAACATACCGGGAACCAAAATTTAAAAGCCAGTTTTGTCCACCCATGAGAGGCTTCAGGAATGCACAGAGCGTGATGATCAGCATTTCGAGCATTCAGGGGGACATTAAAAACCTCTCTTTTTTAAATCGGCCCTTCTAATACTTAATAATAACAAGAAAAATTAGTTTAAAAAATAAAAATTCAACCGTTTTCCGTATAAAACGTTCTTTAAAGTAAACCTCTGCCCCCCCCCCCCCACCACTTTATTTTTAGAGATACAGCAAACATTTAAAAAAAAGGATCATATTATCCTCGAATTTAAAGATCAGATATTTTTGTTAGCTTAATGTAGCGGAATTCACAGAAACATATCTTTTCAGATTCAAGATTGCAGTTACGCCCCCTAGCGGCCATTTCAGAAACTTGAAAATGTTTTCCAGTTTTTTCTCTTGGCCATTTTGGTAATAACTGTTTTTGCCGCAAGCTTCTATGATGGACAGGTTCCCAGATACAGTACCTCGCGTTCTTAGTTGGCCATCACGAAAAATCATGTCACTCTGCCGGTCTGTCTGCTAATCCTTGGTCTCTGTATAATTTGTATGGAATTTTCACACAAGGTTTCTATTATACCAAGAACGAAAAAGCTTTGTAGTTTTTGCAAATCGGCCTAGTGGCGGCGGAGCTACGAGGCAAAAAACTAAAGGACATAAATCGCTCAAAGCTCGTTTTTTGGCGTGTCAAAGGGTCCTGATCTTTTTCAGAAAAAAATGTATACGGGCTAAAAATTGGGGCTTGTATGGGATGGAGGAGAGTATATAACTATTTTTTGGTGCTAGCAATTTATAGGTTTTCAACTCCAGTTATTCTACGCACCTATCAGACATTCTTCAAACAGCATAGATTTCCCCGTACATTTGTCCTTAAGACGATAGAAATATATTTTCGCTATACTTGTGCCAGACAAATCAGCGAGCGTACGTCTGTCTTCCTCGAATATTGAGGGATAACTGAGCGACCATGTATGCATTGCCCCCGTGCTGGGTTTGTGAGTGCCGCGGTTGGCATATTTGTCACGCTGCTGACGGTCGGTATTGTCGGTAGAGCGGTAGACCAGACCGCAATGTTGTCAAGTCTGTGGAGACTATGGACTAATTGTATGAACTTGTTTGACTGACATGATTCATTTAATTCCTTTGTCATATGTTCATAGACATCTTTTGCATAAGAGGGGCTAGCTTGTGCCGAATATAATCCTTTATGAATATCAGCAGTGCGTAGGAAGTACAGTCAACCTAGTTGACGCCATTGTTTTCAGTTCTAGTGGATATGAGTTGCAATTTCAGTACGTTAATATTCTCTGAACATTTTAGGTAACAAGGTAGAGGATATGCCGGACTTAGACAGCGCCATACATCACTTTGAGAATCTCTATGAGGAGAAAAGTGGCAACATGTGGTGTTTCAGACACAATTTTGTGAAGGTTCCTGGAAAAATGATGCCTGTTGAGCTGGACTATGGAAGCGGTAATAATTATTCTAAAATATTTTAATGTCTCTCTTGAAATGTTTCAAACTATTATTAGCTATTATTTTTAGTTCAATCTGTTTAACAGCAAAGTTATGATTTCTTTTTCCTATCAGAGAATGGTATGGAGAACTTGGACATCGTGGACTCAGAATCAAAACTACCCAAACCAGTTCAAAATTGATGAAAATGATCTTTGATGTGGATTCTATGAAGCAAACATTGTTGGAGTTTGAATTGGATACTGAGAAAATGCCGTTGGGTAAGAAGATATGACACTCCATTCAGTTTTGAGAAATAATGTTGATGCCGACACACAAAAAAAAATCCAACTGGTTGCCTTGATTCAATTCATCAGCAGCAAATATTTATTCTCTGTAGTATTTTGATTACTTGATTGGTTTTTTAAACATATTTATTGTAAACTAATACCACCGATTATCATGCTGAATTTTGACGTTTGGGTACAATTTCTATTGTCACTCACGCAAAGAAATTCAAGCCAGAAAGTTTGTAGAGCTTTCAAACATGTTTTCTTCCTCAGAACGTCGTACAAAGACAATGTTGTAGAACAATCATGATCAATTAAAATATCATTGAAAATATATCATTGAAGTCTTATTTTGAGAATAGTAATGAAAATAAAATGGAGAAAGAGCAATTGTAATAAAAAACATCAAACTTCAAAAAAAAGAAATACTTTAATACCGTTGAAAATTTAATTTTCTCTTCAAATTTCTATGGATGTAGCATGCCTTTCAATTATTTTTTCAATGAAGTGCCTCTATCGATCTATATTTAAAATTGTACATTTTTGATGTCTCTTAATGATTTATAGTATTTCTCCGTTTTGGGTTACTTGTCGTGAAAGAAGACTAACATTGTAAGTTGATTGTTGATGATACATATATTAATTGATCAAAATTGACACACAATTATTATATAAAACTCGACATGGGAAAAATGAAAAAAAATTTCACTTGAATTCCTTCATGTTGTGGATGCTACCTCAAGAGCCTTGTGCTTGTAGACATATTTTGGCGCAGGCACGGTTTAGGATTGGATATCTATCAATCAATGACTCTATTCAATATTCTAGGAACAATTTTTTTTAACTCTCCAATGCCCATAACTTTGCAAATATATATTTGAATGATTTTTTTGTTAGTATGGGGTCTATTGAGGCTAATTAGATACAATACAGGGTAGGCCGTTAGGTTGAGCGGATTTTAAAAAATCATTGAAAAACTACAAAGCGTAGGGACGTTAAATAATATTTTTAATAAACAAGACACATGTGAATTGTATTTTTTTAAAATAACAACATTGGGATGTGAACCGGAACATGCTCCCATATAGAGAATGTTGGGAATGCGAAATGAGTGGAGGACCCAATTAGAGTACAGTTTTACATATATTATGAACATTATTTAATATATTTTATCGTAACTTCAAAAATTATTTTTTTGCACTTGGTTTTAGATTTTTTTCTTCTGAGTTTATAATAAAATTGATGATAGTAATATAATAATTCTATTTTTGTTCAATATTTTAGAATTAGGTGTTTATTGACAAACAAATATCTCTCAACTCAGTCATGTTTCAATAAAAACAACTACATCAACGTGTAGCGATCTCCGTGCCCAAGGTCCCTTAAAGCAGACATGAGATAACAAATTTAAAAAATAATAACTTATAATTACACGCAACAGAATTGAGGAAGTTGAATATTTAAACAAAACCTACCTTTTCGTTTCCATGGTAACCAAAAATGAAGCTAGTCTCTCTCGCCAAATTAAGTCTAGACAGCAACCTCAAACCACGTGTTTCACGTCTCTACCAGTCTCAGGAAGTTATATCAATTTCATTTCTGGAAATCGATGTTTCCTTCCATCTTAGTGATGAGAACGATCCGCATCAACTTTTTGAAAACTATTGAAAATGGAATCCCTCAATGGGACTTTGGGAATTGGATGGTTAAATTGTACTGGCAAAAGATTTATTTTTTTCTATTCGTCCAAATTGCATACTATAGATTTGCATTATTCAAATTGTCACTCTTGTAAGAAACAATCGTTCATTTTGACAGTTCTAAACTAGTTCCGAGTAACAAAATTGCATCGTGAATGTAGGCCAAAAATACATAACTTATTCACCAATGATCTGTTCTAGGTAAATTGAGCAAGGCTCAGATCCAAAAAGCCTATGGTGTGCTAACTGAAATCCAAAATCTATTGAACAACAATGCTCCTGAAGCAAGATTGATAGATGCTTCAAATAGATTTTACACTTTTGTTCCACATTCTCTTGGTGTTGATGAACCACCTCTCCTGAACAGTATGGACGAAGTTAAGGCAAGTAAGAGTTCTGAGGTCCAGTCTAAAATATCTCTCTGATGAACCACCTGATTTCAAGATTCTGCAGTATTCGTAGTATTTTGATATGGTCTTCATGAAAACGTATTGTTATGTCAATTTTATCTTGAAGTTGCCTAAATGAGGTCAACAATTGGTTTGCAAAATTTTTCGTACTTTTCGGAAGCTCCGGGAGAATTACTCGACATATTTTTACAATAAACTTTATATTAGTGAATAAATAAGACAAAATTTATAAGTGTTAAATTTTCTCTTGATTCAGTAAATTTAAAGAGTGACTTAATACTTGGAACTGATTACTCAATTAAAAAATGTTTCCCATATTATGAGAACAGTTAGTTGCAACGTAGGAAAAAGTAGATTAAGACGCAGCATTCTCTTTTGGTGTGTCGGTTCTCAAAATTATTTTATGATATTAGACGAAAACAATATCTTAAATTGATAGTACCTAAATCAGCACTTGTGAATAATTCATAATAATGGTCTGAACATTTACGTGTGCCTCCCTGATGCTATCGAAAGAATAAAAAATTTAAACATATCCCACCGTGAAAAACATTCTAATGAATAAATCATATTACACCTTGTATGAGTTCTATAATACACCTACTCAAGAGCATCATATTCTAATTAATTATATATTTGTTTTAAGTTAGCGTTGTTAAAGCACATTTATCTGTTTATGGTTTCTAGGCAAAGATAGAGATGTTAGACAATCTGATGGAAATAGAAATAGCATACAATCTGATGAAGTCTTCAGGATCTGAACACACAGTAGACAGCTACTACAAGACCTTGAATGCAGAGATACAACCATTGGAGAAAGAATCGGAACAGTTTGGTATTATTCAGGAATATGTGAAGAATACTCATGCTGAAACCCATAGGTCATATGAACTAGAGATTAAGGATGTCTTTGAGGTACATACCGTCTTTCCTTTTCGAATATTTGACCAAATTGAGCCGATCCTCTTATCCAGAAACCAGAGTATACTTTCCCGAGGGTTTTTGATGCGCTGAATCTCTGAATTGACACTATTTCACGACTATCCATCACGTTTTGACGTCGACTGAGGTGAACAGCTGAACTGCAAGTGGCTTCTTTGTATTAGTCTGTAACTTGCTTGTAGTGTTTTTTTTTTGTATACTCAGCAAGAAACTCGGCAAGTTTGCTGTTCAGCATCAAATTACTTAAGATTTGACTAGTTTTTAATATATATATAACTTAAGACGTGGTCATTGTCTAGACCAGTTAGGTGAAAAATTAAAGCTTCCTCCTTTTGTTGGGTACTTCGACAAAATTTAAGCAAGGAGGACTCTTTATACTTTTTTTATTCTCTCTAGCTTTCAATGGTCTTTGCCATCATCATCAGGAGCTGCAATTACATTGATAACAGTAGCAACAATAGTGTAAAATGAATTTAAATTAACTTACAGTAGTATGTGAGGATGTTGCTAATTGTTGTTTACGTTAAGGATGAGGGAAACACCCAGTAACATGGTGAATGCTGGATAAATGGTACAATGGTCAAAATTATACAAACTACACACAGCTGTATGACAAGAACAAGTTAAAAACAGATTAAAAAATATTTAAAAGGAAAGTTAAGCATTACATCTTGAGGCCACTTGATGATTGCACAAAATGGTGGGCATGGAATCATGAGTAAGATTAACCTTTTGACAGATGGCCGAAGGTTAGCAGTGTCCGTGTAGAATGATGGAACGAAAATTCTTTTGTAGGCATATGCTACGTTGCCAAATCACTACAGATGGTGTGATTTTGAAGATATGTTGGGTAAGAACTTGTCAAACCGACCAGAGGCAGTTGAATTAACTATATTATTATTAGATGAGCAATTGAATTAACAGTTATTATTTAATTATGAGGAAATAGTTATTAAAATTTGGTGGAATAGACCAAAAAACAGATTCCATTTATGGTTGTGAAGAGTCAAATTTGGAGAGATGTGTAAGTGCTCCAATTTTTTGCAGTTTAGCAAATATGAGTAAATGACGCTCAGTTGCTTAACATCTGTCATTCATGAAAATGTGTGTAATCTTCATAAAAAATACGTAGATGACATTATTTTATGCCTCCCCTCCAGAGGTGTGGATGGTATTGTCGGAGAAATTCAACAGCTATGACCCCTACATCCAATTTACCATTGAAAAAGAAGATGAGAACCTGTCTTTCCCCTTTCTAGACACAAGACTCATCCGCACCAACAACAATAGTTTATTGGTAGACTGGTACCAGAAACCCATGGCCTCAGGCCGGTTCCTCAATTTTATGTCATACCATAAGCTAGGGATTAAAATCAACTTGGTAAAACAGATGAAAACAAGGGTAATCAGCATCTCAGATAATACTTTCCACACATCAAATTTACGGAAACTATCAAAACTGTTCATTAACAATGGTTATCCGAAGTGTCTGATTAACAAGATCTTGTTCAGCTCACCTCCCAGTATTTTACCAAACTCTAACGATACAAGCAATAGTCTCACAACTCCTAATAACAGAACTGATAGAATTCCCAACAACAACACCAATTCAAACAGTACAACCACCATCCCAAATTCCAGATCTGGTTTTGCTGTCCTGCCCTATATCAAGGAACTGACCCCTAAGCTGATCAGATTATGCAGTCCGTTGAACTGTCGAATTGCTTGCAAATCCGTCCTCACTATAAACTCCATTTTTTCAAATATGAAAGACAGAGTCCCGCTGCTTGGCTTAACCAACACAGTCTACTCTATCAATAGCAATAATTGCAACCAAATATACATAGGTCAGACCTCCAGATCTCTTAAAGGAAGGATTACATCACACAAAAGTGATTCTAGGCTTCATCCTGAAAGATGTGCTCTAGCATCTCATGTCAACTCAATAGGGCACTCTATGAACTACACAAGTATCAAAGTTCTCGATAAAGAAAAACACCTATCCAAACGTTTGTTCCTGGAAATGTCCCACATTTTCATGAATGACAATTGTATCAATAAGAAGACAGATGTTAAGCAACTGAGCGTCATTTACTCATATTTGCTAAACTGCGAAAAATTGGAGCACTTACACATCTCTCCAAATTTTGACACTTCACAACCGTGAATGGAATCTGTTTTTTGGTCTATTCCACCAAAAAACTCAATTCTATTCAAATTTTAATAACTGTTTCCTCATAATTAAATAGTAACTGTTAATTCAATTGCCCATCTAATAATAATATAGTAATTCAACTGCCTCTGGTCGGTTTGACAAGTTCTTACCCAACATATCTTGACAATCACACCATCTGAAATGATTTGGCAACATAGCACACGCCTACAAAAGAATTTTCGTTCCATCATTCTACAAGGACATTGCTAACCTTCGGCCATCTGTCAAAAGGTTCATCTTACTCATAATCCCATGCCCACCATTTTGTGCAATCATCAAGTGGCTTCACGATGTAATGCTTTCGTTTTAAATATTGTTTAATCTGTTTTTAACTTGTTCTTGTCATACCTGTGTGTAGTTTGTATAATTTTGACCATTGTACCATTTATCCAGCTTTCACCATGTTACTGGGTGTTTCCCTCATCCTTAACATAAACAATAATTAGCAACATCCTCATATACTACTGTAAGTTAATTTAAATTCATCTTACACTATTGTTGCTACTGTGTCAATGAAATTGCAGCTCCTGATGATGATGGCAAAGACCATTGAGAGCTAGACAGAATAAAAAAAGTATAAAGAGTCCTCCTTGCTTCAATTTTGTCGAAGTACCCAACAAAAGGCGGAAGCTTTAATTTTTCACATATATACATATATATATATATATATATACAGGGTGTCCGCAAAGTTGAGGTTTTCCTTTACACGACGTGTAGATCTTGAAAACATAAGCAATTTTTCTTAGTACCATATACACCAATGTCTTAAGGGAACCGAGATAAAGAGCTCTGCAACATCAAAAATATCTGAATACCGTCCTGTAGCCGCGACATCCCCGAGTGGTACTAGGACACTAGCTCAACCCGACGACAGAACTGGGTCGGGGTCACGCGTGTAGAGGTAATCGCGTAGACGAGAATCCCTCAACAAGCACTAGAGACGTGGCTAGAGAAGTGCAAGTATCAAAAACTAAAGTGTGGCAAACGCTGCGTGAAGAGGGGCTGTATCGGTTTCACGTCCAACGTGTACAAGCCCTTCAACCTGACGATTTTCCAGCAAGAGTGCGGTTTTGTGAGTGGTTGTTGCATTAACATGACAATAATTCGGACTTTTTGAAGTGCGTATTGGTGACAGACGAATCTACGTTCACGCGTAATGGGGTGAATAACTTTCGCAACACTCATGTTTGGTCAGTAGAAAATCCGCACGCTGTCCGTCGGGCACATTTTCAACAAACATTTTCGGTGAATGTTGGGGCTGGCATGGTGAACGGTATCCTCATTGGACCATTTATTTTCCCAAATCGATTGGACGAGATGCAATACCTAGACTTTTTACGCAACATGTTGCCTTCCTTGTTTGCCTGCGTCTGCTCGGTAGCGCATCAGCTGATTTCATTTTCTGTTGGAGGGGTATGATTTCGGGCAGAGACGTACTTAGCCCTTCTCGTCAACTGGAGAGTGAGTACTTTTTCCTTTATTTTTTTTACTTGGTCGCCCTCGTTTCACTACACATTACCTTTGTTATTTCAAGGGTAGTTGTTTCTGAAAAGGAAAACCCCAACTTTGCGGACACCCTGTATACAGGGTTATCCAAATTAAGTGTCCACCATTAGTAACTTTGTTATTAGTGAAAATACAAAGTTGTTTGAATTAGCAAACTAGTAGCATTTTTAACGCTGGTAAAAATGAGAAATAAAAAAAACAATTGAGAGTCGTTATTTTGATTTTTTTCAGTAAAATAACATTTTTTTAAATGGAAACCCCTGTATATTATATTTTTTTCTGTTAAAGCATCAAATTTTAAACAAAAAAGTTCATAATGACTTTTCCGCTAAAGTCAAAAATAAAGTCAAAATAACGATAAATATTTTTAATTATTTGCAGTATTATAATATTAAGACGGCTATGAAAACAACATGGCGTTCGCGATTTGACAGCATTAAGATAAGCGACAAATTGTTAAACTGGACATACTCGCAACTAGAAGGCTTTGGAAAACAATGATAAAATCAAATAATGTCAAACATTAGTGTAAATACTTGTTTATAAGCTTTATTGTGTCATTAATTTAAAGAAAAATGTTCTCCCATGAAGAAAAGTGTGATATGTTAGAATGCTATTTAGTGTGCAGAAAATCCTCCTTGAGAGCAAGAGAATACTACAGTGAATTATATCCCGCTCGCATTCAACCGTATGAACGATATTTTCTGAGACTTTATCGAAAATTTAGGGGCAACGAAAATGTTTTTGCTAAAACAAGGGCAAAAAAAGAATTCATAATAAGCGAGGCCACGGAAATTGCAGTTATTGGATATTTTGAAGCTTATCGTGAGAATTCAATAGCAGATATTCTCAAGGACTCTAATTTCAGTTATGGTACTGTTCAAAGGATTTTAAAAAAATACAAATTTATTCCGTATAAGTACCGACCAGTTCAAACGCTTTTGGCAGGGGATCCAGAGAGAAGACTTGTTTTTTGCCATTGGTATCTTAGCTTCTGTCGCCAAAATGTAAATAACTTTCGTTACCTTTTATGGACAGATGAATCAAATTTTTCAAATTCTGGAATGTTTAATAGAAAAAACCACCATTATTGGTCAAGAGAAAATCTTTTGTTAGTACATCCAAGAGGCCCACAAGTCCGTTTCAGTTTCAACGTTTGGTGCGGTATAATTGGTTCAAAAATTGTTGGCCCGTTCTTTTATGAGGGAACCCTAACTGGTGAAAGATATGTGGAATTTATGTCAGAAATTCT